ATAAAACGGAAGGAATCTTCAGATCTTCGCCACACCTGGAAACGCAAATGTTGTACAGTTTAAATAACAAAGGTGTGTGTGTGTGTTTTAGTAGTGAACATGAATATTCCTATTGTTTTTTTTTAACACCAAATGTGAAAAAAAGGGAAAATACTTCATTCCAGGTATTGTCATGCTGAGAAAGGCAGTCTATGCAAAGTCAATAATGTGAAGTGAGGAAAAACAGAGGAACCCTCACCTCCAGACTGAGAAAGCACAATCAGTGACACACACACACACACACACACACACACACTAATCCTGATTCCTGCTCTAACTCTAAACTCAATCTCAACCTTCACAAAACCCTCTCGTTCAGTGGAGACCTGAAAAATGTCCCCACAACAATAGTATTAAAATAATGCCCCCCCCACCCCCACCCCCCCACAGTGGATTACACTCTTGCCTTACAGTAAGACGTCTGTCTGTAGTGAGTTGGTTTAATACCAGCTGCTAACACTAAATGAATACAGTTAATAAAAAAAAAAAACTGCACCTTTAGTTTGTCTGTTACAAAGTGCTGCCAAGGTTTCAATATAAAATGGCCGCCCCCACATTGTGTGTGTGTGTATATGTGTGTGGAGGTCGGGATAGGGTTAATTTTTTTACACTCTAAATTGACTCTAGGTGTGAATGTCAGTGTGAATTGTTCGTCTGTTCACGTTGGACTAGAGCAGTGATTCCCAACCTCTGTGTCGTGGCCCTCTGGTGGAAAATGATCCAACTTCACTTAATTGGCCTGAAAATTATTATTGATTTATTGCTTGTCAAAACATAAAAGGCAGAACAATTAAATTCTCTTCTGCTAGGTGGCAGCAGATGGCTATGACAACAAAAAAAAAACAGATAATCAGAGCTGTTGAAGAAGATCTTTGTGAGTGTCTTTCTTCAATTCCTGCCAGTATATCAGCGTCGTCTTCAACTAAACAGGCTGAGATTTTACTCAATTATGAGGTTGTTTAAACTAGAAGATATTATATCCAGGCTGTAGCCCTGCTGCCACCTGATGGAGGCTGGGGTTAAGTGCAGAAGATTAAATTAATGACTGAATTGATGAATGAATTCCTAGTTCGTTAACAGACTGTGGTTGTGACTGATGACTGTGTGTCTCGCTGCAGCAGGTGTTGATGTCCTCCATGTCTTTCACTCACAGGGAGATCTTAATGGAATATGTCACCGTCTTCATGTCCACAGTTAAATAACTCCCGTCTGTACAGCCTCACTTTTGATACATTCATGATTAATGAAGTGACGAGTGAATTTGAGTGAATGGAAATACTGCCGTCTGTTTCTGCTCCGCTTCAATGGTTCTAAAAGCCGACCATAAAAGCAATAACCTGAGTTCTTCTGCTAACAGACATCAGGATAAAGATTCCATCTCTGGGTTTTGGGATTACAGTGGATAGAAAACGTCTCATCGTACACTTTTTTTTTTTTTTTTTTTTACTAGCTCCATCGCAGAGTAAAGCGATGAAGTTACGATGTTTTAATTTCAACACAGACAGATGTCCACGCTCGTCAAAATCCTGATAACTCAATGCCTGGGTTTCACCAAATGATGTAGGACCTAAAAAAGTTTGGGGAAAAAAAACAGCTGTAGATTAAAGTGACAGTCACTAGATGGCAGCAGTGCAGCTCATTTAATTAATCTCATTCTCATACAGTGGTTTGTACAGATAAATAAATAAATATCACCAGGCCTATATCGGTATTGGTTGATATCGGAATCAGAAATGTTTGGACAATATTAGCATATCGGATATCGGCAGAAAGATAATATCGGACATCCCATTTTAGTCAGAACGTTTTGACTTACATGTGTTCATCTTATTAGTATCTGAAATTAAATCTCTTGTCATCGTTTTACATGAAAAAAACAACCTATTTTTACAGAGTTGCGAAGATGTTTTTGTATCCACTGTAACTATAAAAAAAGCACATCGATATTTTACCAAATTCAAGAGTCAAAAGTAACTTGAAAACATTTTTTTTTTCAGTATGAAATATGTAAAAAGTTGTACTTTGTGTTTGAAATGCCATGTGACCAGATAATAAAATCTAAACAGCAGGAAGTCAGATATAAACAGCAGGAAGTCCCGCCTCTCCACTCAGACGGCATACGATTTTGCACACGACGTTGAAAAGCCTTAGTAAAATGCAGGTAGTGGGTCTGAAATCTGACCGGCCGTCGGTGAAACCACGGTCCAGTAGAACAACCTGGCAGAAGGTCCGGCCCTGCCGACCACCAGGAGTAAGACATACTAGTATACAGTACAGTGCTGTGTAGTACAGTGCAGTACATGCCCCGTAGTACTACTCACCGTGTTCAGTATGTGCTCCTGAGGTCTTGATTTTATTTTATTTTATTTTTGTACGGTGGTGACTTCAACTTCAGTCAGGGACTCACATTCCTTCTTTAAATCGTAGCACATTAAAAAAAATAACAAACACACACTGGTTAATTTTTAAAATACTGAGTAACAGAGGATGAGTATTATGTCACAGTTTTTTTGTAAAATAATTTCACAGAAGAGTTTGTCTGTAATTCTTGTAGCAGGGAAGGAAATTCACTGTTGTTTTTTTTTTTTGCAGAGGCCATTGGTTTCATGATTGGTTTGAGTTTTTAATATTATTTTTGCTTCTCTCTTTTTTTTTCAGGCTGATGTTTAAGTCAACATTGAGCTCAAGGTAAAGCATTTCCTGACATTCCTCTTATTTTGTTACATTTGTTGTTTTTTGCAGCTGATGCTAACGTTTTGGCTAGTTACAGAGCTAATTTTGGCTAATTTATTTTTGGACAATAATAATTAAAAATGACAATGTTGTTACATATATGTCAACTTTTTTAATAGGCTTCATTGTTTGGGTTATTGAAAAACATCTTTAGCAGCTAAAAAAATGCACTTATTTTTCTTTTTTACAATTTGACTGACGTTCCTTTGTACCAAGCCACATTTTTTTAAACAACATTTTGCAGAAAATGACGACAATCCTTGTCATAGATAGGTTTAAAAGCTGCCACATTAAAAACACACACCTGGTCCTCTGCTGGTGTCTGACCTGGTCCTGCAGTTTGAACGACTCGCGCTGTGACTGTTTCTGAAAACACACACACACAAAAAAAATAATGAACCGGTTCTATCATCAGTACTGCAGTACAGAGTGTGTACAGGTACTGATGTGTTTCTGCTTCACAGTAAATGTCTTTAAACAACCACTAATGTTCCACTGTCGAACCTTCATCAATATGTACAGTATAAAACAATAAGTATGTGTGGGGAAAAAAAAAACATTTTGTAAATTCAGCTGCCAATGTAATAATATTGTGAAATGTATTTTTTTTTTGTATAATACATCACGACTGTTTTTTTCTTTTGTACTATGTATAAAAAGCACTTTATTTTATTTTTTTTTCAAATAAAAATCAAATGGATAATTTTTCTATTTAAAGTCACTCAGGATCATTTTTTGCACCATGATTAAAATGAGAAAAATCAGTAAAATAAATTTTGAAAATATCTTTAATTAGTGACGTGTTGAAATGTCCACAGAATACCACGGTAAATTAAGGATTATTTATTTATTGGTTAGGGAACGTCAGTTTCTGGTAGGTTGGGATTATTTATTTATTATTTAACACTCATTTAGTTTTGGTCTGACACAAACACTTAAAAAAAGTAAAGGACGGTTGATGAAGTAAAATCGAATTTAATCCGGTAACGTAATTCATCCAGATTGGTCAGGGAACGTCAGTTTCTGGTAGGTTGGGTTAGTTTATTTTAATAGTTACCCTCCTGTGTTTGATCATTAACTTTCTCGGAATAAAAATGAGCCAAACACAAATATAATTCCACATTGCTCTACTCTACGAACTGTTGCTGCTGCTCAGCAGTAGTTGGCTGCTTTATTTGACTTAGTTTTTCAACGTTTATCCGAGGGTGGAGTCAGGAGCAGCCCGAGGAACACACACACACCTAGAAGACAAACAGAAGTTGGCTTCGGTTTGAATGATTATGGTCATTGAGAACAGCTGATCATCTCAGCTCCTGCTGCCGGACCATGGACCTGAAGACCCTCCTCCACCAGGACCTGGGCCAATCGGAGACTCCCGATTAACGACCCAGACCAAACACTCATCGTCATCGTGGGCCAGTTTAGGTGGAAACAACTTTTAACTTTTATTGTACTTGTATATGTTTCTTCCTAAACCGCCGTCGACCATGGACCGACCGAGTCTCATGCGACTCTTCTCCGCCTGCGACGTGAACAAATCCGG